TTCTCTAGTTGTTGGGTGTAGTACTCTAGATTTGTTTAGTTCCAATGGTCAAATGTTGAATTTAAGTCCCAAATTTCTTTGTTAATTTTCTGCCTTGATGATCTATCTAACTCTCTAAGTTGGGTCCCACGCTTTTCTCATGTTCATCAGACACCATATAAAGAGGATCCATTTGAAGACTCTATGGCCTTAGAGGATGAACAAGCCAGTAGATTAAAAAATCCCAAGTCCCTGAATGATTTTGTTAGCAGTGCTAATTCTGCCAAGGCTCTCTCACCCCCTTGAGTTAAGCCACTATTATTTTGGTGTCATAGCAGTTGACATACCTTGACTAACATACCAGAGTTCTGCAATTTTGTGCCTGTAACCCCTGAGAAGAAGTTTCCTCTTTCTCTGAATTATAAGACAATATATGGGTATGGCATAGACTCAGGGTGCCCTGGAAGCATAAACTCAGGCTTGACTGGTTTGACCCAGAGTAGGTGTTTTAGGAAGTCTTCCCAGAGGAGGTGGAAATGTGGTAGAAACAGCAAAGACTGAGGTCACATAGACTTGGGGTAGAAGTCTAGTGCCTCTAATAATGAGTTTTTCAACTTCAGGTAATTAGCTTACCCCTACTCTTTGCCTAAATTCAACCTGCTCAACCTTCTGGTCTCTGAAAATGTCACATCCAGGGAGTATTTTTTTTTTCTGTCTCCCAGGCTGGCCAATCTCTGCAAAATCCTGGTGCTTCTATTCTTAAGCCCTTGTGGCATTTGTTATACCTTGTTCAATCTCTGTATCTCCTGTTAATAAGCTTCAAGAGTGCAGGGAATGAATATCAATTTCAGCCCTATTATCTTCACCTTTCAGTCGAGTGGCTGGTACACTGTAGATGTAAAATAAATAATTGTTGATTGAATAGATAAATATATAGATGAACTTAAGCTCTTTAAACCTTGGTATCATTAGCTATAGAGTGGGCATAGTGCTAGCCATATCCTGGGTTTTGGTAAAGATTAGTTGAGATTAGGTATACAAAGCCCAGCCTAGCACAGTACCTAACATATGACAGTCAACAGTTCTTCAGCCTTGATGGATAAGAAGTTTGTTAGGCTAAGAAGAAGAGAAAGGGCATTTGTAGTGGAGGGAACTGAATTATTTTGAGATAAAGCAGTGCATTTTGGGTTTTGTGGAAGCTCGTTAGGGGGGCAAGTACCAAATTATGAGACTTACGTATGGATGCACAAGAAATAGAAATATATCATTACCATGCCTTAAAGCCACCAAAAAGTGATGAGATTATAAATATTTAGCAAATAAAATACCTTTCCTTGTTAATATTAATTCATGACCTGTGATAGCAAAGAAGGCTCCTAGGGGATAGAAATTTGCACTGTGCCTTATAAAATTCATGTTGCTGAAGAGCAGAAGGAAAGTCATTCAAAGCGGGATTTATAGCCGTGGGCGAATGGATGGAGGCTGGGAGCCAAGTGCGTTAAACCAGTTTGGCTGCAGTGGAGTTTATGTTGGGGATTAGAGGAGTTGAGGTAGTATGGAACCAGATCATTGTGGATCTCTCATGCAAGGCAGAAATGGAGAGGAGAGAGCCAGAGCTGTAGAAAGCCTGAGTGTTGTGAGCATCAGATGGTCATGCTCTTCTTGCCTGAGGGTTTTTGGGAGGCAGGAGGCTGAACCAGATGACCTCTGGAAGTTTCTTCCAACCACAGGGCTTTGTGGTAGTCAGAAGAAAGATAGAGAGAAACAAAAACCAGGGACCTTGGCCTGGATTTTGCTCCCTCATAAATCTCCTCCACTGCCCTGCATCATCTCTCTGTCCTCAGATTAATCTTCTCTGGCTTCCTGCAGGAACAAAAGGACCTATTGACCTCATCCTGTTCTCCAGGCTGCAAGTGAGAAATGGGGTTCTCAGACTGGCAGAAGCCTCCGTGCGGGTAGGCACAGCTGGACCTGAGGCATGAGCCCCCGGGGGAAACACAGGAAGCAGGTAGCCATTCTTGCTCCAGAAGGGCTCTCACTAGGGCTGCCCCAGCGTCCACACCAGATTATGTAATATGCCCTGTACTTTTGCATAGATGTCTTTGGCTGAAGATTGGCAAATACTGGAGGAAACTGCAACCTCTTATCAGATAATTTTCTGAGACAAACAGTAACCTGGACTGATTGTGATTTCCATGAGATTCTTTTCTTCTTAGTATTGGTGACTAAGAAACAAGGCCCTATGGTTCATGGTTCAGTAGGAAAGCAGGAGATTTACATTGGAAATCCTGTGCTCTCGCTGGCTGTGTGCTGTCTGTACCTCAGTTTCTTCATCAGTAAAATAGGAATAAGAATATTACCCACCTCAGATAGTTAGAGTGAGTATTAGAACTCTTGGAATACTACTAGGCAGACAGTAAATACTGAAGAAATGTTAGCTAATTACTGATCTCACTATTTATTAGAAAATGGGGATGAACGTACCTGTTTGACAGGGTTGTTGTGAAGGTCAAATCCACTCATTCATTTGTTCAACAAATACATACTGAGCACCCACTATGTGACAAATAATATATGAGTCACAGGGATGCTGTGTTAAAAACAAAATGAAATCAATCATTCTGTACTCCCCAGAACTAACAGACTGGTGGGGGAGAGATATATTAAATGCATAAAAGCACAGGCAGAAATGCGCAAATTTGTTGTAACAGTGCTTTGAAGGAAAAGGGTGGTGTGCTACTGAGAGCATAAGAGGGCAGGCTGCCTCAGGTGGTGATATGGTTTGGCTGTGTTCCCACCCGAATCTCACCTTGAATTGTAGTAATCCCCACTTGTCATGGGAGGGACCTAGTGGAAGGTAATTGAATCATGGGGGTGGGTCTTTCCCGTGCTGTTCTTGTGATAGTGAATAAGTCTCACAAGATCCGATGATTTTATAAAGAGGAGTTCCCCTGCACATGCTCTCGCCTGCCACCATATAAGATGACCCTTTGCTCTTCCTTCATCTTCCAACATGATTGTGAGGCCTCCCCAGCCATGCGGAATTGTAAGTCCTTTAAACCTCTTTACTTTATAAATTACCCAGTCTCAGGTATGTCTTTATCAGCAGCATGAGAACGGAGTAATACAGGTGGGGTGGCCACAGAAAGCTTCCCTGAAGAGGGAGGTGTTGAGCTCCCCTATGAAGGATGGGTAGGAGTAAATATTGCAGGTAAAGGCAAAACATACCTACAGATCTTACCTTAAGGGGAAAAAGGGTGTGGAGAGTTTGAGCCTATAAATGAGGTGACAGGGTTAGCAGAAAATAAACCAGACAGAGGATGAGTCCTATTCTGAGTATAAACTGCAAAAGCAATAGAAAAGGTAAATGCTTTTATAAAGTGTAAAATCCACATGTCTGTAACTTAATATATTTTCCAGCATAAAAACTAGGAGTTGGAGTTAATTGCATGGAGACCAGGTAAGGAGTGAATTCACCTCCATGCCCTTTGAAGTTTGCACTCAGAATAAAACGATTGCCTAAAAACTACAATCTTATGGCAGAAAATGTGTGTGTCAGTGTGTCTGTGTAATCTGAATTCCCAAAGTGCATTTGGAAGCCAACAGCCCTTTCCTTGAATTTCATCGTCTGGATATGCATCAGTGCTTTGAGCCTCAGTTTCCTTCTTGCTAATAATGGGGCTGTGTCTTCCTCTTTACTAACGCAGCTGTTTTCTCAGAAGGTTGTTCTGAGAAAAACTCCAGTAAGTGTTGACTCCCTATGCCTCTTCTTTTCTCTGTGGCTTAAGCTTCACTGTCTGGTGCTTCTGATGCCAGTCTGCATTTGAGAGAAGGCATTAAAAATTCATAGCTGGCTTTTCATCAAATGTGTCCTGCCCACCACACAATCTTGGAGAACCCATTGGCATCTGACCGCTCTAGAGATTGCCCCTTTCTTAAAGGAGCCACCTGACCTCCCCTACCCAGTACTGAAATCCATCCAATTCATACACCATTGCTGTGGAAGTTAGTCCTTCTTTTAATTCTGATCAAGTGAGCAAAAGGGGAAATAAGGAGGAAACCATCAGAACAGCTCATGAAAAATATGTACGTTCTTTAAAGGAAGACAGCATACAAATGGGATATATTTTTTTTCCAAAAGGGAGGGGGAAAACACGCAGGCTTTTAAACAGAAGTCTTTAAGCAGGGAGTGAGAGAGGAAAAATATGTCTCTTAAATGCATTCAGCGCCATTGCCACAAACAAGGCTGCCGAGCCAGGATTGTTTATTAGAAGATAAGATAGTGAAAAATGTATTTTGCAGAAAGAAAATAGTAAAGTCAGGTCTGAGGCAGATAAGAAGCCAAATTTCTATTTTATGCTCAATTGAGTGACTCAGTTACATTATCTGGGAAGCAGGGGTGAAATAACACCCTTCGTAAATGAGGCCTGGGTTGCTCTGGGTCTCCTTCCAGCCTTGGCCAAGCTGAACTCTGCACAGCTGGGATGCTGCCTTCTCAGAGCAGTGTATTTGCCATCTAGGGAGAGGGGAAGAAAGGTTCTGATCTTTTCTCTCCAGCTCCTTTTTTTCTCCATCTTTTTATATGAGCACTCCAGTTCAGCTTCATACCTCCCCTTCTGCTGCCAAAGGTGAGAAAATAAAAACACACACATGCATACGAGATGAAGCTCTGCAAAGACCAACAGATGTTGGAGCCAGAAGCATCATTAGAGTTAAGCTGGTATAGGGGTCTGTGGTCAGTGTTTTATTTGGCAAGCACAAATATGTCATTTGAGTGTTTTTACATAGGGCATTGTTCTCCAGTTTGCCAGAGATCCTACTATACCTTTTTAAAGTTTTACCTGGCTGCTTTACACATTTTCATTGTGTGTCTGGTCCCTGGAGAAATATAAGATGATTTCTCTGGACATCTTTCAGAATCCTTGGTGGAAAGATGAGGAAACTTCCCCAGAGAGGTCAAGAGTCTCATTAAAAGTCACACAGCTGGTGAGTGGCATTATTACAAACAGGCTATCCCAATGGTTCAGCTTTTGGGCCCTTTCTCACTTTGGAGATTCTTAATTTCTTATCCATTGGAGATTAGAGGAATTTGAAAACTGAATATTGATTTTTTTTTGGGCCAATAGTCAGCATCTCTTTGTGCAATGCACATCTAGTTGTGCATTGGTAAGCCTGTGGTAGTCAGAATAATGGCCCCTGAGGATGTCCATATCCTAATCCCAGAAACCTGTAAATAATTTTGCAAATGTAATTTAATTAAGGATCTTCAACTGGAGAGATTATTCTGGATTATCTGGTGATATGGTTTGGCTGTGTTCTCACCAAAATCTCATCTTGAATTGTAGCTTTCATAATTACCACGTGTTATGGGAGGGACCCCGTGGGAGGTAATTAAATCATGGGATGGGTTTTCCCCCATACTGTTATCGTGGTAGTTAATAAGTCTCGTGGGGTCTGATGGTTTTATATATGGCAGTTCGTCTACACAAGCCCTCTTGTTTGCCACCATGTAAGACACAGCTTTGCTCTTCCTTCATCTTCCACCACAATTGTGAGGCCTCCTCAGCCATGTGGAACCGTGAGTCCCTTAAACCTCTTTCCTTTATAAATTACCCAGACTCAGGCATGTCTTTATTAGCAGCATGAGGACAGACGAATATGTCTGGGTGGGCTCAACCAAATCACATGGGTCCTTAAAGTGAAGACGTTTTCAAGGTCAGAGAGGGAGAGATGTGGCAATGGAAGAAGGGTCAGAGAGATGTAACGTTGCTACTTTGAAGATGAAGGAAGGGAACCATGAGTCAAGGTAATGTGACCAGCAAAACTGCAGAAGCTGGAGAGGGCAAGGAAGCAGCTTCTCACCTATAGCCTCCAGAAAGGAACACTGGCTTGCCAACACCTAGTTTTAGCCCAGTGAGCTCCAGGTTGAACTGATCTACAGAAAGAATGACAAGATAACACATTTGTGCTATTTTAAACTTACATTTGTGGCAACTTGTTACAACCACAATAGGAAGTGAATACTACAGGCATCTAAATCCTAACAATATTTCATACCCATTCATTCTCATATCCTTCCTTTCCTTCAGAAAGATTTCTATGAAGTCACTTGCAGCTAAGCTTTAGGCTCATTTTGAACTCAACATTGAGAAAAAAGTTAGCTCCATAGAGAGATTAACTATAAAAAAACTTTGAATTTGGTAAGCCATTGTGTGTTTGGACATAAGGAGTAATATAGGCATCTTGTCCTATTCCCTCAGATATATATTTTTAAATTAAAAATGGATGCTCAGAGAAGGGAAATACTTCTCTAAAGTTGCCCAGGAAATTAATGTCAGGATAAAAATTAAAATTTTGGTTTTTCATCTTCTATTCCACCATTCTTAAGATTACTTTTTTAAAAATAGGTTAAAAGTACTATCTGTCCAGACGCTGACCCACATATATTTTATGATCTTATTTACCACAAAAACATAACTGACATTTAAAGGGAAAAGAAAGATTTTTGTTTGGTCAACTGAATATCCATATGGACAAAAATCAGCCTTGACCCTTCTTTCATACCATATGCAAAAGTTAATTAAAGATAGATTATAGACACAGATGAGAAAGGTAAAATAATAGGGACTCTAGAAGAAGACATAGAAAAAATCATGACGTTGAGGGAAACAACTCTTAAATAAGACATTAAAAAAATCACCAGCCAGAAAAGAAAATTTATGGTGCTCAGTAATTAGGCCATTCTTTTTCTGTTGGGATTTCATGAAGTTCTCTAAAGGGAATTTTACAGTTTGATAAATGAAATATTATTAAAATTAAGAACATTTGTTTATTGAAAGACACCGATAGTAAAAGTCACAGATGGAGAAAGACATTTGCAACACATAAATCTGAATAGGGTTCATATTAGGAATATGTAAAGAATTATTAATAGGAAAAAGACAAGTCAATGACAGTGGAAGACAGACAATGGAGACTTCGAAGGGGGAACGGGTTGGGGGAAAGGTAATGAGAATTACTTAATGGGTACAATGCATGTTGTCTGGGTGATGAATATTCTAAAGCTTTGAATTGACCATTATTCCATCTATGGATATAACAATATTGCACTTGTACTCCGTAATTTTATGCCACAGAAAGCTAGCAAAGACTTGAAAAGGCAAGAACTGGAGTATAAAAGAGGTATCACAATGGCCAAAAGTCATGTGAAAGCTGCTCAGCATATTAGCCACCAGAGGAATACAAATCAAATGTCAATGAAATGCTATCCCACGCCCACCAGAAAGGCTGAAATTAAAAGGACTAATAATACCTAGAGTTGTCAGGCATCTGGAGCAACTGGAACTCTCATACACTGCTGTACTACAGTTCTTCATCATATTGCTTTTAAGTTTTTTGATGGCCAAACTCATCTTTTATTCATATTTCTCCCACCTTCTTGCCTGCTCTGTGCCAATAATAAGTGCTCAAGTGTTTGGACTTTAAGTTCCACTCTAGACAAAAAGCCACCAGCACACACACATAAAAGCAGTAGTGACGCTGATGAGAAGAGATGGCCCAAATAATTTTCCAAAATGAGTCTGATAGACAGTTTTTGCACCAAACTGCCTGCCTTTCCCTAGGCAAATGTGCAACTCTTCATGCTGAGTGTGATTCCATGGCCTCAGGAAGCAGCCCAGCACTATGGACTCCTGGGCTCTGTAGTTAGACAATTGCTGGATAGTATCCCATATCAGCCATTTCCCAGCTGTGTGACCTTGAAGCAAATGACTCAACCTCTCTGTGCCTTGATTTTCTCATTTACAAAACAAATAGTAATGGTATCTACTTTATAGGATTGTAGTGAGTATAAGTGAGAAGTTAGAAGCAAAACATCTGTCCAACTTTAGGTGCTCAGTAATTAGACAATTCTTTTGCTTTTGAGGCTTCATGAAGTCTTCTAAAGAGGATTTTACACTTTGCATGATGGTAATCCATTTTTTTGAGAGCAGTTGCAAATTCTTCTTTGCGTTTCTTCTGGAAATATCTTTTGTGTACCTTTAAAACTGCCCGTCAATAAAAGCTCTGACCAGCATTGTCCAAGACCTCCACACTTTGTGGCCAGTAGATTTGGAGGTCCTTTCCTTAAGAAAGACAGGGCTTTGGGAACCCCCAATGCATTGATTACCTTTATGTCCTATCAGGATGGACGAGACAGTGATCAGGAAGGAAGCCACAAAAGAGCAGCCCATAACCCTCCATCATCATCAGCTCCTACAGCAAAGGCAGAGAGGCCCTGGAACCAATACAGGTAGCCCATGCTGAACATATGCTGGAATTGTTTATGTTTTGTAGATAAAAAAGCTGGGAGTAAATATTTACAGACAGGGAGCCCCGGCATGCTGATACACTGATGGAATGAGAAATTGTGCATACATGAATAAGTGTGTGTGTCTGTGTGTGTATTTGAGTGGAGGAGAGAGAGGGGAAAGAGTTTTGCCTCCTTTCTCTGCCTGTAGGTGGGGAGATGGTAGGTAAAGTGGAAAGAACCATTCCATGGACTACAGTCAGGTGCCCTCTGGTCTGGCCCCTGCTGTGCCAATTGTCTGATTTACTATATAGGAGGCAAGAAACAGAGACTCCCTCAGGTTAACTAGGAGGAGAACAGTTTATTATCTAGATGAATATGTTCCAGTGAGGGGGTTTTATAAAGGGCAGTTCTCCTGTGCATACTCTCCTGCCTGCCACCATGTAAAATATGCCTTTTCTCCTCCTTTGCTTTCCGCCATGATTGTGAAGCTTCCCCAGCCATGTGGAAGTATGAGTCCATTAAACCTCTTTTTCTTTATGAATTACCCAGTCTCAGGTATGTCTTTATTAGCAGCATGAGAAAAGACTGATACAATGACTTAGAATCCGAAGAAGTTCCAGGCTCTTTGGCAACAGATTTGATTGAACTTGCAGACTCTGGAGTCAGATGGCTTCACCTAGAAATGAGGCTCCTGGCTGTAGGAGCTTGGACAGATCCCCGGTTTCTCTAAAACCATTTTATCTTCCCCAAGATGAGAAGAATTAATAATATCTCTCACAGAATGGTGTTGCATAGGATGATGCACGTGGAACACTCAGCATAGTGCCCAGTATATAGTAAGAATTTGTATTGTTGCCATTGTCCTTGTTTTCTTCCTTTTTGGATGCAATTAAGATGACCTTAATTGGACATACCTATTTTCCTCATCTTTGCTCTGTATCTCCTCTAAACAGCAGTGGTTTCCAAGTGTTCTCTGGACCAACAGGGTGAGCATCACCTGAGAAAAAGTCATAGGTGGAGGTCCTCTCCTTGCGAAAGGCAGGGCTTTGAGCACCCTCCAATGCATCCATCACCCTTATGTCCTATTCTGGCTATGCAGCATTCTGTCCAAATTCTCAGGCTCCACCCTCTGTCCTATCAGAATAGAAACTCTGGGGGAGGCTCAGCAATGTGTATTTTAGCAAGCCTTCTTGGGGATTTGGCTGCACACTGAGGTTTGAGAATCATGGCCCTACGTTGAGGCTGCTCATTACCTCCAGTTCATCCCCTCATAGCCTCTGCTTCCTTGTGGTACATGATGACCCTTTTGATCTGGCTTCTCTCCTTTCCCCTGGAATCTATCCTGTACATAGCTTTCTTTTTAAGCATCCTACAATAGTTTCCCATTGCTCTTAGAATAAAACCCAGACTGTAGTCACAGCCCAAAGGCCCTTTGTGATATGGATTCTGCCGTCTCTCCAACTTCCTCTGTCCCTTCCCTCCTCTGATCACTGTCCCCTCCCACACCTTTGCCCTTCCTGGCTATGTGTCTCTGTCACTCAGGCTTGAGTGCAGAGGCATGATCATGGCTCACTGTAGTCTTGACCTCCTGGGCTTACACCTCAGCCTCCCAAGTGGTTAGAACTACAGGCATATACCACCACATCCAGCTAATTTATTTTTTGTGGGGACAGAGGTCTCCCCATGTTGGGCAGGCTGGTCTTGAACTCCTGGCCTCACGTGATCCTCCTGTGTCACCCTCCCAATGTGCTGAGATTACAGGCATGAGCCACTGTGCCCAGCTTTTACCTTGGTTCTTTGTAACATTTAGACCTAAGCTCACCTGTTTCCTCTCGGGAAAGCCTTTCCTTGCCCTCCCTCAAGCTAAAGAAGCCCCACCCCTTCACACTAGCAAATACTCTTGTTTCATGACTATCAAACTCTTATTCCTTCCCCATCATTTCTTGTTTATTTGTTTACTGATTGTCTTCCCTACTAGACCATAAGGTCCTGGAGAACAAGGGCCTTGCTCACCCTGTTTATATCCAAGATGGTTAGAAAAGTACTTGGCACAGAGGTGCTCAGCAAATATTTTTTTGTTGAAATAATGACTAAGAATGGATAGATGAATGAATAAATTAAACACAGCAGAGTGTTCCAGGAGGATAATGCCTGAAAGCTGTCATTTAAGTCCCTTCTAATCCAATGAACTCATACTTTTATAGTTGTTTAGATTAGTGATTCACAAGAGGGCGGTCCAGCTCTCCCCATCTCTGGGGGAATTTGAACATGTGGCGATGTTCTGCAGTTAAAATGGCTCTGGAGACACTCGGGGCATCAGCATCAGGTGGGTGGGTCTGGGCAGGCCGAAGAGCCGACAGTGTGCAGAATCGTCCTGTTAGACAACACGTCGTCCCCTGCACACCTTTCCTAGCAAATGTCAGCTGCATTCCTTGTGAGAAACAACAGTTGAGCCTAATCATTGTATATCATAGTTGTGGGAAGCTGGGGTTTCCAGGTATTTCTAAGCTCCCAGCCCCTTATATTTCAGCCCTGGCCTGTGCAATATTTATAGCTTCACTGAAGAAAACTCAAACTGGCTCAGAAATAGTTAATCCTGCCTGAGACAGCAGCTATTTTTCTCGTGAGTCTTTATTTTCAGTGACTAATAGGTAAAAGTGAGGTGAGTTCTCCTCGTCCGTGGAGGCTGTGGCATAAATGATGTCTCTGAGGCCCATTCCTGTGATTACTGAGCTGGATATGAGCGATAGGATATTTTGAGGAGATAAAAATGTCTGACCAGCTAATAACTACCAGACACTGGCTCCAAAACAGGGGTCAGAGAAAGAGAAGTAAGGGAGACAGAGGGGGCATAATTCACTCAGAGACAGAGAGGCCTGATGAGGAATTCACATCAGGCACATACATGTGCATATATGCAACACAGACATTCAGATATGCAGCACAAACACCCCACACACAAACATAGAACATATCCCAGAAACACGGAGCATATCCAGGTACTCCATATTTTACCCTACGGGGCACAGACTGCACACATAAGTACACACAGGCACACAGTATACACTTAGGCAGAACACACCCTTCCTAGATGCACCATGCGTCCCCATGCAGCACCCAGCAACAACAGAGACACACCCATACTGCAAAGGCATACGAAACGCACCAAACACAACCAGCTCATGCAATAGATGGACACACATATATAACTCACACATGCACACAACTCATTCATAGAAACAATATGCATTCTTGCACCTTGTATACAAGTAACCACAATGCACAGATACATACAGACACATGGAATATTATACATGTAATATTCAGAGATGTGTGTATGCAAATGTAGGTCCACCTAACACAGATATAAACACAAGTATAACGTGCAAACATACATACACTCCACTAAAATACACACATCTTTAAAAGTACACATACAAGTCACGGAACATACACACACACACACACACACACACACACCCCTCTAAGAGATACACACCCTTAAGAGACAAACACCATATAGATACATGTGTTCATCCTTTGCTAACAACTGCTTTTAAAAATGAACTTTCAGGTCCCTGCTCCAACAAGAGTGGCAATTCCAACAACAGCAAATCAACACAATCTACGAACTCTACAACTGTCAGGTTAAAGAACATCACCATGTAAAGAAAACTAATGTGTCATGCGACTCTCTTTGACCTTTATGGATATTGCTTCATCCTTGCTACAGGCAGAAAATCAGCGTTTAGCATGGCTGAGGTGGGACTTGTTCTTGCTCTCTTCTGGCTATGGGAGGAGGGAAGGAGAGAGAAGCCAGGGCTCTTAAAAGGCTGTTGAGATGGTGCTGGCCTCAGCATCAGGTCATCTGGGTTGTGGCTCTGTGATCTGATACTTACCTACTGTGTGACCTGGGAGGTGTTGTTCCCCATTTCCAAACCTCAGTTTCTTCATCTGTTAAATGGGTATGAACCTACCTCATAGGGATATGATAGATAAACTGTAGGATCTAATCCAAATGTGAATTGTGGACTTGACCTCCTCATATTTCTAAGAATATGAAGAAGAGGAGATGAACCCACCAATGACACTCCAACAAATGCATCTGTTTTTAGTTTGACCCCTCACTTGTCTTTTCTCCATCCCCACAAAAACTTCTGCATGGCATGAGTAGCTAGTGCAACTGGGCTTGTCCACAAAGAAGAGGCTGTAGATTATTCCATTATGTTCACTGAGTCTTTGTTAAGTATCAGATCCTGTGCCAAGTGATTTACCTGTATCATCCAATTTAATCTTCACCGCAGCCCTTTACAGTGCATTCTGTTATTATTCCCATTTTACAGATGAGGACATTGAGGTGCAGTTTGGTCAAGAGATTTACTTGCTCAAGATCTTCCAAGGTGGTAAGTTTTGGAACCAAGATTTAAACCTACTCTGTAGTGGTGTAGAATGCTGTCCCTCTCCCCATTCCCCGCGAAAGCTGATCATAAAGCTCTAAGTTAGTAGGTAAAGTCGGCTTGATGTCAGAACCCAGGGTGATGGTAAGAAGAGCCCTCTTATTCTGGTATGTTCCCCATTGTGACTCAGGAGCTAGACATCATGGTTTTAAGCCTCATCCCGGGTGTTTCTTACCTCTCATTTAACACACAGTCTTTATTCAAGTTTGTAGCATACTTTCAACCTTCTTAAGCCCTACCTTCTCCATCTATAACCTTATCTGTCTCTAGGGTCATGAATTGGTCAATATATCGCATCAAAAGAATAACAGGTGGCAAGTCATTCTCTAGTTATGTCCTTTCTTGCCACTCTCTGTTATCTGTGATTAGAAACTGTGGGTTGATCGATATGCAGTGTTTCTGTGAATAATGTTGGAGGTTAGTGTGAGTATTAAGACTCCTTTTTAGGCATTTAATATTGCCATTTTATATTCTACACAGCAGCATGGCTGTGACTGAGAAACAAGAGTTTAGAGTCAGGCTTTCTGGGTTCAGATCCTGGCCCTGGTCCTCTAGGTAACCTTGAACATATTACTTCACTTTTGTGTATCCCAGCTTATTTTGACATGTAATGGGTTTATTCACAGTACGGAGACTTTTGGAAGTGGTTGTATATTCTAAATGAGTTAATATTTGTAAAGTGCTTAAAATGGGATCTGGCATGTAAACGTTAGCTCTCATCATCATCAATACAGGCCTGCAGCTTTTTATGCTGTTTCAATCTGACTATGCTCTTTGTTTTACATTTCAACTTCTTCATGTTTGGGTCTTGGCTTCCTTGATTACCATCCCTGATAGCTAATGTTCTGAAAATAACAGGATGTCCCAGGCTTCCCTTGGCTTTCTCTGTGTCCGGATTCATTACAAGCTATCCTCTGCAGAGCTGTCCTGACTCTTTTTGGTTGAGGGCAATGAGGTAAATGTAGACATCAGAGGTGCACATTTGCCTACCTCTCGTGATAGACATGTGACACCAGAGGTGGCATGGTTAATTTTAATGACAAGGTACACAGGAACCTTTCAGATACCTGAACAAATGCTGCTGTTTCCCAATTAATTATGCTTCCTGAAGTCGTTTTTCACCTTGCTCCAATCAAAGAGCTTCAGTTTCTATTCTCTTTGCTTTTTCTGAGTTACCAATTTCTCTTCTCTTTCATTTACAAAATCCTCCCCACCAGCTTTGATAGATCATGTTGCATTTTGTCACAACAAAACTTGTGTTTAAATTACTGTGTAATCCAAAGATTTAGAAACCTAGATATGTTGCTTTGATCACATTAGATCTTATCCAAGTGTAGCTTTGGTGGAAAATTCGCTGTACTCTCAGTCATTCACTGTACTATCCTGATCTTTAGCAAGAAGCAATGTGGTCTGGCAAGAGTATGTGGGCACCATTGCCACGGGAACAACTTCAGATTGTGTGTGTTTGTGTACATGCGCGCGCGTGTGTGTATGCGTGTGTGTGTGTGTGTGTACATATATACTGTAGGTCAAAAAAGTCCAATATTAAAAACCCAAGAGGGCTTACACTCATAGGTTTTGCCTCAAAAGAGGTAAACCAATGTCTGCCCACCCCAGGATGGTATGCAAGAGTTAAGAAATGTGAGATTTCCAGGATCATAAATAGATTGCTTACTGTCAAATTTAATTCTTATCTTTCCCGTTTTCTTGATATCAGCTCCACAGCTCATGTTTTTGTCACAGACCCTTTTATGTTGAACTCCAACTTCTTAGAAACTCTTGTACGCAGGGAGATGCCCATTGTCTCAAGTTTCAGCTACCCTAAGACCACCTTGGAGAAGTTAAGAATATTAAGATATCTAAACAAATTGACATAAGGATTATTAAAAAATAGACATCAGACTGGGTGCAATGGCTCATGCCTGTAATTCCAGCACCTTGGAAGGCTGAGGCAGGTGGATCACTTGAGGTCAGGAGTTCAAGACCAGCTTGGCCAACATGGTGAAACCTTATGTCTACTAAAAATACAAAAAGTAGCCAGGGTATGGTTGCAGGTGCTTGTAATCCCAGCTATTCTGGAGGCTAAGGCAGAAGAATCTCTTGAACCCAGAAGGTGGAAGCTGCAGTGAGCCAAGATCATACTACTGCACTCCAGCCTGGGTGACAGAGCAAGATTCGTCTCAAAAACAACAACAAAAAAATAGACATCATACTGGATGCTATGAAGAAGACCTAGAGAACATCACTGTCTTTCTCTGAATCTCAGTTTCCCTCTAAGTCTCAGTTTCTTTATCTGTAAAAATTGGGACAACATTCACCTGAGTGGGTCATTGTGAGAATTAAGTGAGAGGAGCTGGGTCAGGATTTTTATGTCCAGGCTCATGTTTCTGAAGCTGCATCTGGAGCCAGACTGTGCAGGGCTTTGAAGGAAAGGATAGGAAGTTTAGAATTACATTCTATAGATGATGGGGAATGATATTCACTCACTCATGAATTATTTCATTCAACGTCTATTCATGGGAAAGATAATGATGAATAAAGTAAATTAGATTCATGTACTTTTGGAGCTTAGAATTTTTAATGTGCAACAGATGTAATTATATAATCACACAAATAAATATATAAATTGGTAGCATTTAAGATAAGGAGGGGCTGATGTAGATGGGGAGAAATTGAGAAAGGTTTTCTTGAAGCAGCAGCAGTGGTGCTGAGACACTAAAGGGGTAGGGACTCATTCTGGGCAGAGTAAACAAGATCTACAGAAGTCTTCATGAGGCAAAAGGGAGCATGGCCCATTAATAAAAAGGGCGAGGATGGGTAGAGCCTGGGATGAAGGAAAAAAGTTGTATGGAATAAGGCTGGAGAGGTAGAGGCTGGAGAGATAGGTGGGGGCTAGATCAGGCAGCACTTTGCAAGACATTGTAGGATTTTGGCCTTTTCGTTAAGAGCTGTGGGACACATTTGATGGGTTTTAAGCAGGGAAATGGCAAGCTTCTATTTGCTTTATACTAGGATCTCTTTTGCAGCTGAGAAGAGATTGGCTCAGAGCAAGTAGGGAAGATGGAGATTGTGGGAGGTAATTGTGCTAGTCCAGGGGAAAGAAAAATGGTTCCACCTATGGCCATAGTGGTAAAGCTAGAAAGAAAAGGATGGCTTCAGCATATATTTAGGAGATAAAATTGGCAGTGTTGGAATAGACACTGAGGTGGCAATGAAGGAGAAGAAAGTATTGAGGATGACACCCAAGCTTGCTTCCTGTCAGAAGACTAGTGGCAGCGTTTACTGACGCTTTAAACATAGAGGATTAGAGAATGCCATTTACCAGTCTCGTTGAGACAGACTTTTCTTACTCTGTAGCTGTCCTGTGGGAATTTGTTGTGTCTCTCTACCTATATTTCTTCTCCTTTCTAGTGTCCTCTGTGGTTCTGGGCTCACAAGAGGGCGTCTGGCAAGGGCACAGAATTGCGGAGTGAGGAATACCTCAGGCAGCAACTATTCCACCACCATCATTTTATAAAGAGATAAAGAGATCTGTGACTGATGACCCCAAAGTGGGGGAGCCACAGGATGGCTTACAACTTTTTAGGCCTAGGTCCTCTTCATTGCTTCTGCTGCTATGTACCCTTTGATAGATGAAGAGAATGTAATGAAGAGCTACCAATTGCAACCCTCTTATTCAAAACCCCTCAATACTTACTGTAATCCAATTAAAGACTTTATTCTTTGAGGATGCCCTCACTTCTGGCATTCAAATTGCTTATAAGGATTAACTGGGTTAATACAGATAAAATATTTAGAAAGTGCCTGGAATAGACGAAACACTATGTAAGTCTTTGCTTCTGGTATGTTCTCACCCTACATGGCCCAATAACAGGGATCCCCAGTATCCATTCTCCTCTCTTCTTCTGATAACACAACAACCCTTCCTGCCAAGTTTGGTTGGGTACATGGCCACCTGAGCAGTCACTATGTTTCCCAGCTTCCCTTGCAGCTAGGTGTGGACATATGACTAGGTTCAGGTCAATGGAGGGTACATGGGAGGAAGGTGAGTGTCTTTCTCATTTCTAGAAGATTCCAGTCCATTTCCTAAAAGGCAAACCTGCCTGCTCTGGACTCTGTGTTCTTATTTTTCTCTGGCTTAGATATGGCAACAATTGGGACAGCTGCCTTGGGGTAGGGACAGAAGCCCCATGTTGACTGTAGAGCTGATCTAGAAGCCTGAGTCATTAGGTGACCATGTATATCAGAGCTGCTCCTTCCCCCACCTGCTGAAATCCTGGGACACTCACTACAGATTACTCCTTTGTGGAAGGAACAGACTGCTCCCTTACATAAGCCTGCATTTTGGAAGTCTCTTTGTAACAGTAGCTTAACCTGAAGACAACTGATACAGCCCTACCTACCTTTCCTCTCTTATGACTGCCTTTTACTTACTCTGTGCCCTGGCCATACTACTATTACACTACTGTTATTGCTGTTTCTTTTAGCATTGGCTTTTCTTCCTCCAGGCTTTTGCTCATGCTGTTTCCACATGGAAATGTCTCTTCAATACACATATAAATGTCTCAAGAGTGTTGCCTAAAGAAAAGCACATGGGCTTTGCGATTAGACAGGAATGAATTTGAATCCTGGCTCTGAAACTTTCCAGAGTGCAATGCCTTTCAACTCCCTGAATATCAGTTTCCTCATCTGCAAATGGGTCTACTGATACTTACCTCATGGAGAAGTTTATGATGATTGATGTGAAGTGCATGTACAATGTCTGGTTCTCAAAGAAGCTGGAGACTACTATCACTATTGTCACCTAGCAGCCAAGTCCCAGCTTGGATAGCATTCACTCTGGGGAATTTGGAAGTTTTCTAAATTTCCTTCATGATATAAATCCTGGGGTGCTTGTCAAACATGCAGCTTCCCCAGCTCCTTCCCTGACCCCTTTCTTGGAGATA